CCACTGTACACCAAATTAGCTACGTCTATGTGCTCTGAGCTTTCAAAACCACAAATGAATGCACATTTTCAAACTCTGTGTTAAAATACTGTACAGTAATGCAGAACAGCAGGACTGAAAAAGTATGCACCATTTTAATGGAACAAAATTTTTAGACCGTTTTAAGTATAGAACCTTATTGGCACACTACTAATTACAGATTTTTGCTACCTGTTACTTATAAGGGTACTGATACAATTTTACTCCATGTAGTTAAATCTTAATTTCTATGATTACTACTATAAGCAATTTTCCTTTATAAACTAGGAATAGAATTTTGAAGAGCCATATATTTTTTTTCCTCTTCTTCTTTCTCCTTGGGCCTTCTTTCTTTGAGTGAGTCCCCCACCACCCTTTTTTGGGGGGTTTTGAATGATATTTGTGTGGATAATTATGCTGCAATGCACATTTAAGAGGTTGTAGGAAAAAAATCTGTTCTAATATGGCCAATCCATAACTCAGTTTCCAACCATTATCTGTGTAGCTAATTTGATCCAGCAACATTACACATTGCTTTTTTAAAAACCCTTCCAATGAAAGAGAATGAAACAAATGTAAAAGTAATTTATAATTATTGACATTTATGGGAGGGTCTAAGTAAAACAGCCTCTGATTTCTCTTCTTTGAAAACCTATCTCAAAGCAATTCAACTTTCTGCTGCACAATTATAATCATCTAAAACCCAAGTAGAAAACAAGTGACAAACAAATATTTATTTTGGAACCTACTCTGATGGATATACTTCCTAATTACAAAAGCAGCAAAACTCTCTTCCCTGCCATGTAGAAGCCTGCAAATCCCTATTATTTAATACAGAGCAAAGCACCTATCCTTGTCTTTCCTAACCTCTTACTGCTTTCAGCAGCAGTTCTGTTGATCTTGAGAATATTAGCTTTGAAATCTTAGTATCACAGAAAACCAATATAGGATCATTGACAGATTAGAATATTAGCTTTGAAATCTTAGTATCACGGAAAACCAATATAGGATCATTGACAGGTTTTATTTATGCCACATAGAAGCTTCTTGTATTAATGGTGTATCGGGGGGGGAGCTACCACGAAGTATACATCTACATCTTGGAAATGTGGGAGTTGCAGTCTAAAAAACAACTTTTCCCCACCTGTGGTGAAAAACAGCATATACATGGTATGTGAGCAGAGCTGGTGCAGGAACAGAAAACTAAGTCCAATCACCATCCCAGGCTCATTTTCTGTCTCTCAGATCCTTTATGTTGGGTAGTTTAAGAACACATTATATTTCTCAGTCATAACCTACCACTGTTTTATACTGTACTTCTATACACATTTGCCATATTCGTGCAGAAATATTCTGGAATTAATTATATGTATTATATTAATTGTATATGTTTTATTCGTATAGACCAAGTCTACTGTTCTTTCCAATCTTCCAGACAAGAAATGGGAGATGACATGCCATATTGTTTAACAGAAATTCCTCCCTGGCATTTTCATGTGCGAGTCACAGACAATACAATAAACTGAAATAAACTGGGGATCCTCCATTTTTTTAAAAAAGAAAATCTTTTATTTTTCACCATAGCTGCATAACAGATACTGTGGGCAACATATATTTTAATAAAAAGTTACTTCTACCACTGTAGCATTCACATCCTCCATTTTTTTAAAAAAGAAAATCTTTTATTTTTCACCATAGCTGCAAAACAGATACGGTGGGCAACATTAATTTTAATAAAAAGTTAGTTCTACCACTGTAGCGTTCACCCTAAGTCATGCAATAAGTTATGTATTATTCATGAGTTATATGCTAAAGTGGTTAAAAGGTGGGGCCACAAGAGATGTTAAAAGGTGGAGCCTGAGAGGGGAGTCAGTCAGTCTGGAGGAGTCTGAGTTGAGTCTGTGCTATGAATCAGAGAGAGAAGGATAGTTCGGGGTCTCAGGAGTGATCCGTCTGAGTGTAAACTGTGATAATTACTATAGAAGGTTAATATTGAAGCTGGATGAAACTTGAAGAAAGTGCTTATGAATTGTTCCAGAAACCAACTGGATTCAATAAAGCTGTTCTATTAAAAAGTCAGTACTGAATGGACCTTCATCCTTTCTAAGTAAAGTAAGTTGATAAGGAGGTCAACTGGTGGCAGCATGTCAAGAGGTGTTTTGGTTTGCCTTTCTGAGCTCTGTATTTAGTGAGACAAACAGGGGCCACGAGGTCGAACTCAACAACCACTATTTGTAACTAGGATTGTAATATATAAGGCTTTTGCTAGGGCACCAAAATTCAATAGGTGCCAAAATCTAGTGGTGAATCTATATGTTTTTGGGAAAATAAATGCCAAAATCTTCACTTTCCTTTTTTTGTTGTTGTTTTTTGAAAGCATAATCCTTATTTTTCTTATCGAGGGACACCTCCTTTTCCTCTTCCTTTTTCATGGTGAGAGGCTCATTCTCACAGACCAGGGCAGAAAGGATGGGAAACTATGCTGCTTGCCAAAATTGCTAATTATTGCTCTGTACATTTTCAAGTGTATCTTTTGAAACTTCAACAATCCAGCGCTCCTGCAAGGCGATGTGCAAATGGAAAACACATATGTGGTGCTCACCCTGTGCTTTAGACGAGTCTGGGGGGCAACACAGAGCTTCAACAGGAAGTATTCTTGGTTGTGTTACGTTAGGTGCACACTACTAGAATGAGACCGGCAAGCAATGAAAAAATGCAAATAAATCTCATCTAATTTATAACTTTCTAGTGATCAATAAAGATATCACCAAAATTATGTTTCTATTTGGATCAAATAGCTATTTTTTTACCTTGCTACTGGAAACACCATGATCACTTGAGACAAGGCTTTCCTGTGAGACTGCCCTTCAGTAAGAATTCTATCTCATCCAACCATGCATTGCAATTATCTTTTTTTTAACCCTGGTGTGATTCTTAAAATTGATCTCATGTTTTGCTGGTGTAAAAACCGCTACCTTACTCAACAGTTGCATTAATAACAGGGACCCAAGCCAAAGAGAAGAGAAACTGTAAATTGGTATCTTTCACATTTTAGTCTCATATGGAATTCACAACCATAATCTTGCTAGTGGTCTGGTTTCAAGATCTGTAGACATCACATGCACAATCTTTGTACTGTTTACCTCAACCCCAACTTAAATTCCACCTATATGACCTTATGTGCTGATGAAGAGTACTAGAAAATTCAAAAGAAAACCTTACCTGTAACTTTTTAGTGACCCCCCCAAAAAGTATTATCCAAACCTGATGGCTCACACAGCTATTTCTTCTGTTCATAATATATTCTGTTCATAACTTTTCCCCAACTTGGCATCCTCCAGATGTGTTCAAAATGAACTCCCAGAATCTCCCAACTTTGCTGATTCAGAATCTAATATCTAGGAACAGGATAATCATCCTATCCTCGGCTTCCACTCTTCTAAAGGAAAGTGTTGCAAAACCCCATAAGTGACTTTTTTGATTTATGACGCCAACTGCCACTGCTATGGTATATGTTTAAAATGTAATGGATCTTATTTTATTATTCATCTTTTGGCCAGCTGCAAGCATACTTCAGTTTTAAACTGGGTGTAACTGTCCATCATATTGTTGTGACATACACTCAGACCTTCCACCACAATTCAATTAAGAGCAGCTTTCGAAAATAAATAGATCTTCCAGCTATTGGACTGCCACACCACATTTTCAATGCAATCCTAAGCATGTTTACATAGAAGTAAGTCCCACTATAGTCTTAAATTGCTATATTCCAGCCAATGAATATTCATAAAAGAGACATCGTTACTTGATGAACTGTGCAAAATATAAGTTGACATATGTCGTAAATAAACCCAAGTCTAGTCAGACTAATTTGAGCTAATCTCTTGAACAAGTATATGTTTTAATCAGAATTCTTTCCTTTTGGGTAGAGTGGAGGGTTTTTTTTTTTAATGAAAGTCAATACTGAGAGGGAAACCAGGTATCCAGAAACTTTTCAGAGAGGTAAATTATGATTGAGCCTGCTCAGGGTTTTTTTTAAAGTTCAGTTTTGCACAAATATTTGAATAACCTCAGCATGCAATTTGATATTCTCCTGCCAGAGTCATGTAATTCACTGACTACCTTTCCAGCAAACAGTTTATCTGGTTCTCAGTAAGAAATTTAGTGAGACTCATATTCCACAACACAGAATAAACTTACCCACCAACCTTCTTAGCACAGACAATACGTAGCTGACTGGGCAAGAGGCCACCGCTTCATACTGAACTTAAAAAAAAAACTGCTGTTGCTTCTTGAACACTCATTAGTAGTGAGTGCATCAAACAGCACAAGCCTCGGCTGCTTTAGGGCTTCAAATCAGGGATTCCATCTCATTAAGAAAACTTACCTCAAACTGCATGAAGTTCGTATTTTCCACTCATCCTACAGATTAATAATGAACTCATTTTCTGAGTCTGGGTCCTTATGTAGCCACTGTCTATAAACAAGAGAGAGGTATCCAAGCTTGCAAGAACCTGGGTTTTCAGCAGTGCAGAAAATCTTTAAGTAGGGAAAAGCCCTCTACCGAAGAGGGAAACAGAAAAAAATGCAATAGGGACTCAGCACAGAGTGATGTGGAACTGTTGATGAAGGAAAGAGAAATCCACTGGAAAGAGAGAATGGAACGGAGTATTCTGAAAGAAAGATGACCAGCTGGCCCCTACGAAGGAACACTCAACATTCCAACATGTTGGTTCCAGTTTCACACATATTTTTAATTCCACTTTCAATGCGGTATATTTTATTGTATTACCAGACTGATGATGTGATCCACAAAAATATACTGTTCCACTGAAATACTTGTTTTCAGTTGCAAATTAATTTAGGGGTTTAAATACGAGGGGAGGTAAGAAATAGACCTGGAGTGAAATTTTATAATCTAATTAGAACTGAGGAATAGTTTAGACATTTGCAGTCTTCTGAAGAAAAGTCAGTTTACTCACCTTTATATATTTTACTAATTTTTGAATCTGCCAGTATTCTGATGGCAAATCTGTATTGATCTCCTGGTGGCGTTCAGGTTGTTCTTCATCATCTTCACTCTCGCTCTCGCTCTCGCTCTCATCTTCAGGTTTTAGGGGAGGTCTGCTAAATAAAAACAAAGAAATCACAACTGAAAGTTACGAGCATGGAAAACCTGATGTATTTCAACACACAAGAGGGGCTGCACAATGAGACATCGAGAAAGGTGGCCTATGCACATATAACTGTGTGGGTACAGGTTTCCAGAACCCCCAATAGCACAGATAATGGGAGTGAACTCTAGGCAACACCTTTGCATGATGATAGGAACAGTTGCTCTTTGCACACCTGAACAGGGCTATAAAAATAAACACTTTTTTCCAATCAATCAGTGCTGGTGCATAATGTCACTTTTTGAGGACTTATGCACGCCACATTAAAATTGAGTAATATGTAATGTATACTGGCTGAAAACCTGCTATACAGTTACAGAAAAGGTGTCACTTTTGGAAGGAAAATGCCATAAGCTTAGAAATCTCTGTAGACATGGGGAATTTTAGCATGCAACAGATGGTGTCTGAGATTTCTTAATTTATGGCAATTTGTTTCCAAAAGTTACACTTTTTCTGTAACTGTGCAACAGGATTTTGCCTATTAAGTTATGTGTTTATAAAAGGCATCACTTCTTATTGCCTATGCATTTGAATGCTTTACCCTAAGCATCAAGTCATGTGACTGGAATCATTGTGTTGTATCAGTTGGCAGCAAGGAGAGAGCAGATAGCCATATTAATCGGTTGCATATTAAAGACATAAAAGTTTTACTATTGATGAACTTGCACATAGCCCTTAGAGTGAACACATCCATAATTTATGAAACACATACAACATTCCTAAGTAATAGTAGGTCAGCATTATTATTTTCATATTCCTTATAGCAAATAAAGTCTGAGAAAGCCTTCCTTATAATCTCAGTTCATGTTCTCACTAGGCATAGGAAGGGCTATTGAACCATTGCAATGTTTGGAAGACATTTCAGATCTAACTGGCACATTTGAAGGGCAAGTGATTAACCCTTTTATTACAGGCATTTTTCCTATCAAAATTCCCACTCATCCATGCAGTATTCTTCCATGGAGGGGAATGTTAAACGGACACAGTATCTTTTCCCCTGTGTGAGGGAGAACAGCTGGGGAGAACAACTTTTACTGTGAAATCATCCTGCAGGAAAAGGGTGGGATATTTGTCTCTCTGCTTGTTGCTCCAGTTGAACTCAGAGCCCAGTTCTGCAACATTAATATAAAAACAAAAACCACCAGAAGATGCCCCATATATCTCCCATACCAGAACTAACCACTAGGCTAATGCTATCAGCCTTTCCAAAATTGAAAATGTTCTACATGTTTCCCCATTAGCACATATTGGTTCCTTATCTGTTTTACATTCATGCTAGGCAGGTACTAAAACTTAAATTGAGTTTAGATAATTCACTGATGTGCCACACATTGGGTAGATTTTGAAACTGCTTCAAAATAGTCTAAGAACAGCAGAGCTAGAAGGGGGCTTTATGGATCATCCTCTGTCAGGGAGGCACAGTGGAGAACTGAACTCCTAAACTTTGAGCTTAAACCACTGAGCTATCCAGCAGTTTGTTTAAATTTACCTAGTGAAGTCTGTGAAAATAGGAGAATATGACAGAAAATGAAAACTTTTGGAATGGATGCATTTGTTTGCTTTTGAGATTTTGGTAGTGATGGCGTACTGCAACATTAAAGAAAATGAAAATAAAAGAACCCTCTCTTCGAAGAGGTATTTAAATTCCAAGAGCAAAAAACATTCAAATACAAAATCTGTCCCTTACTTTAGTTAAGAAATGTGAGCTAAGGAAATATCTATTAAAAGCCAAGTTACTGGGACAGTAAGCCAAGCAATCATCTTCTCCCTGACTATGATTGGAAAAATGGTAGCAGATGCAAGTATGAGACAACTCTGCCAGAACCAACAGGTTTATATTTTCAGCTTGGGAGTTCCCCCTTTGGTCATGCACAGGAGTGGGAACAGCCAGAGAACTTTCCAAATTCTACTAAGCAAGATTCATCATAGTTAAAGGCAGCAGTTTTAGAAGAGCTTCCCTGAGACCTCCTCCCCTTCAAATTCGATCAGTTACAATTCCCATTCACTAGCCAGTGTGGCCAAATTGTAGAAGCAATTTGTAGTTCACTGGGAAACCTCAGGTTGCATAAGATTGATTTAGACTATTCGGGTCTATAAGATTTTTTTTTTTCATTCATGACACTGATAGAGTTTGAAAAACACATCTGCCTAGATTAAAGTTCGTGTTAAAAGTGATATTTTTGTAAAGGACAAATAATACACAGAGATCACTTACCCTTTGAGGGAGCCAGTGGGTGTAGCGCTGGATCTTTTCTTCCCTTCAGGGGGGACAGGTTTGCTTTCCTTTTCGTCCTTGCTTTCTTTCCTTGCTCTTTTGCCTCTGAAAGATTTTGTTTGATATTTCATATTATGACAAATAGACCACAAATGTGTGCGCATATTAGACTGAAGATCAATCTAATCAATGAAAGATTTCCCATCTCAGAATCATTCCCCCAAATATTTCCATTCCCTAGTAAACCCACATCTAAGAAGAGCTTTTATGTTAGCCTGTTTTAATATTTTTCCTTCTACGACCCATGCTGGTCTATTTCTTAATATCCCTCGTGAAAAAACACTTTTTGTTTGTTTGTTTGTTTAGAGACTCCTGACAGCCTGGATCATATACTGTTTCAATGGCCTGCTCATTCTCACCTCTGAATTTTTTTTGAACCTTGGATCTCTTATTTTTCCAATTTTTCTGAGTCAATTCTTTCTATTTTCATGAGTGATGAACGTAATTCCCTGACCGCTGCCGTTGCAGGTTTCTTCTCTGCAATTCTGAAATTGGTCCCTGCTTCTCGCTCCTAATTTGTGAAATTTGTGTAATTTTACTTCTCCTATTTTGCTTGTGTTGTTGTAGTTTGTAAATGCCATTAAAGGTTTCAGAACAACAATGAAAGATTTAAACGGATCAATGCCACACTATAAGAAGGCAGGAGGAAAAATCTGTTGGTTAAGGACATAAAGCAACAATCGGTGTCTTCACAAATTAGCAAGAAAGTATTTGGATTTTAAAATACAGTATTGGACACCATCCAGCAGACAGCACTATGTGCTAAGCCTAATGATTTCAAAGGATTTAAGCACACTAAATTATTTACTGGACAGTGGCCATAGTGTTTTAATACTAAAAACAGTTCAGCATTCTAGTTTTCTTTTTACATCTTTTCCACCAATATCAGTATTTTGTTGTTACCTTTTCAGTAATGTACAAAACAATGCATGCTGTTTTCATGTGGAACATATCAACGAAACAGAAATTTATTTTTTAGACTGTTCGAATTCTCCCATTAACACATATTTAACATGATGGCTGAATCTGTGGGCTTTGGAAACCATACAATTTCAGCAGAAGTGTGGGATTCATTCACAGACACTTAAACTTCAGTTACATGAAATGGAAGTGTGGTCAACAAATGTAAAACTATTTCACATATTTCTCCAAGCAGGCCAGCTGGAGCATACTGGTAATTAGAAATATGTTGTCCCTAAGAAATACTTGCTCTATTAAATCCTTGGCTTCTCCTGAGCATTTTTCAAAGATCTTAGAGCAAAAGTAGTGAAACTCTGCCATTCCATTTTCAGACTATGACTCCCACAATACCTTCCCATTGGGCATGCTGGCTGGGGCTTCTGAGGGGTGAAGTCCAAAGGGTGAGGAACCTATGGCCTTCCAGATGTGGTTGAATTACAACTTTTATTATCCCTGACTATTCAGGTGAGAGATATAGTCCAGCAACACCTAGAGGTATATACGTTCTCTAGTCCTAGAATCACTATGGCTTCATGACACCCCCCTGACACCTTACCTTTCTTGTCATCACAACTCCTTCCTCTGTTTTCAGATTATTTTGGCACAGAATAGGGCATCTGATTATAATAGGATGTTGCTTTTTAGAAGTACAACAGCAACATATGGCAGCTTTTATTATACCAGGTATATACAGTATATCACAGAAGTGAGTACACCCTCTCACATTTCAAAATATTTTAGTATATATTTTCATGAGACTATACTGAAGAAATGACACGTGGCTACAATGTAAAACAGTGAGTATACAACTTGTATAACTGTAAATGTGCTGTCCCCTCAAAATAACGCAACACACAGCCATTAATGTCTAAACTGCTGGCAACAAAAGTGAGTACACCCCTAAGTGACAATGTCCAAATTGGGCCCAAGTAGCCTTTTTCCCTCCCTGGTGTCATGAGACCTGTTAGTCCCACAAATTTCAAGTGTGAAGGGGGAGCAGCTGTTATTGCTCTCTCTCTCTCTCAGACTGGTCACTGGAAGTTCCATATGGCACCTCATGTTAATAAACTACCTGAGGATCTGAAAAAATGAATTGCTGCTCTACATAAAGATGGCCTAGGCCAGTGGTTCTTAACCTTTGTTACTCAGATGCTTTTGAACTGCAACTCCCAGAAACCCCAGTCAGGACAGCTGGTGGTGAAGGCTTCTGGGAGTTGCAGTCCAAAACTCCTGAGTAACCCAAGGTTAAAAACCAGTGGCCTAGGCTATAAGAAGATTGCCAGACCCCTGAAACTGATCTGCAGCACAGTGGCCAAGACCTTACAGTGGTTTAACAGAACAGGGTCCACTCAGAATAGGCCTTGCCATGGTCGACCAAAGAAGCTGAGTACCCGTGCTCTGCATCATATCCAGAAGTTGGTTTTGGGAAACAGACGTATGAGTGCTGCCAGCATTGCTGAAGAGGTTGAAGGGGTGGGGTGGGGGTCAGCCTGTCAGTGCTCAGACCATACGCTACACACTGCATCAAATTGGTCTCCAGGGCGGTTGTTCCAGAAGGAAGCCTCTTCTACAGATGATGCACAAGAAAGCGTGTGTATGGTTTGCTGCAAACAGACTAAGGACATGGATTTCTGGAACCATGTCCTGTGGTCCAGTGACACCAAGATAAACTTATTTGGTTCAAGTGGTGTCAGCCGTGTGTGACGGCAACCAGGTGAGGAGTACAAAGATAAGTGTGTCATGCCTACAATCAAGCATGGTGGTGGGAGTCTGGGGCTGCATGAATGATGCCAGCACTGAGGAGCTACAGTTCATTGAGGGAACCATGAATGCCAACATGTTCTGTGACATATTGAAGCAGAGCATGATTCCCTCCCTTCGGAGACTGGGCCATAGAGCAGTATTCCAACATGATCATGACCCCAAACACACCTCCAAAACGACTACTGCCTTGCTAAAGAAGCTGAGGGTAACAGTGATGGACTGGCCAAGCATGTCTCCAGACCTAAACCCTATTGAGCATCTGTGGGGCATCCTGACACGGAAGGTGAAGGTGCGCAATGCGCAAGGTCTCTGACATCCACCAGTCCTGTGATGTCATCATGGAGGAGTGGAAGAGGACTCTATGCCCAAGAGGGTTAAGGCAATGTTGGAAAATAATGGTGGCCACACAAAATATTGACACTTTGTGCCCAATTTAGACATTGTCACTTAGGGGTGTACTCAGTTTTGTTGCCAGCAGTTTAGACATTAATGGCTGTGTATTGTGTTATTTTGAGGGGACATCACATTTACACTGTTATACAACCTGTATACTCACTGTGTTACACTGGCACCAAGTGTCATTTCTTCAGTGTTGTCACATGAAAAGATATACTAAAATATTTATGAAATGTGAGGGGGTGTACTGACTTCTTTAATATATTGTACATCCCAGCACAATTTGAGCAGATCTTGATCAAGAACATCTATGATCTGTAAGATGGCTTGTCACATTTTTTTTAAAAAATCCACTATCTTCTTTAATGTTAGCCCCAATTAAGAGATATTTGCTTAAAAGTTAGTATCATTATATTTATTAGCTATAGTGGATGGGCTTCTTGTTCTTTACCATTCTGTGTTCTTTGAGTACAGTTCTATTCTTTATATGATTTGAGCTCAAATATTGGGGGGGGGGTTTCTTTGCAACTCATTTCTTTATAGATATTTCAGCCTCATCTGTTCCTATGTCTCAAACAAGCTCAGTTTCTGTGCAAACATGTCGCACTCGTAGAAACCCCCCTTGAGATCAGTTGCAATTATTCTCCCCAGCACAGAGCAAAAAGGAAAAGGAAAAACACTCCCTCTCTCCCCCTTGCTATGATCTGAAAATCTAGTCAATTTCACTAAACAGTGACAAGAAATTCCTAAATTGGGGGCGGGAGGGGGACCAGCACAGCTGCATCTTGCCCTCTGCTTCATATACATTACTTCCAAATAATTCTTTTTTTATTTATCAACTACAAACAAATATATAAAATACAATACGAATACCCCAAACCCTTCCCCCCTTTGAGGACAGAGATTCAGACCTCATTGCATCCCAACTTTTCCAAATTCCAGAGAGCATTGAAAGCGGGGGGAAAAGAAAAGAAAAGAAAAAGAAAGCCCATCAATCATTTTCTGCCCTATCTTCAGATCTGTCCCTGGGCCCAAACATGTATTAAGTTCCAACTTTGTTTTGCATAGTCTCTTGGTTGATCTCGTAGTGCTTCTGATAATGTATCTAATTCTGTAATGTCCAACAGCTTCTTCAGGAACTCCTCCATTGTAAGTATGTCTTCACTTTTCCATTTTTGGGCCCAGAGTAACCTAGCTGCTATCAATATATACATCAAACAATATTTGATTTTCTTATCAGTAATTTCTGGCATAATATTTAATAGTGCTATTTCGGGTTTAAAATTTAATTTCTTTTGAATGATTCCTTTTATTATTTCCCACAACTGTAACCAATAAACCCTGGCTTTTTCACATGACCACCACATATGGTAATAAGTTCCTACTTTTTTTTTTACATTTCCAACAGATATTGCTGCTACCTTCTGACATTTTTGCCAGTTTTGTAGGAGTATAGTGCCATCTGTAAAACATTTTGAGGATATTTTCTCTTAGATTTAC